AGGAATCATGGGAGAAGTTTAATATCAGCAGTGAAACATAGGCGAGATGCTGAAACAGACCATCAGCTACTCATAGGCAAGTTCAAATTAAAGCAAAAGAAGTCAGAACAAATCCATAGGAATCAAAATTTCATCTTGAGTCTACCCCCCCTGAATTTAAAAACCAATTCAGGAACAAGTTTGAGGCTTTGAAAACTAATGAACCAGATGAACTATGGGAGCATATAAAGAATAACATCCATAAAGATTTCAAAAGTTCATTACAAAGACAGAGAAAGAAGAAAAGACGTAAACGGATGTCAGAAGAGACCCTGAATATTGGACTAGAGTGCCAAGAAGCCAAAGCAAAGGGAAGAAATCAAGAAGTTAAGGAGCCGAATACAAGATTTCAAAGCGTAGCTCCAGAAGACAAAGCAAAATATTAAAATGAAACAAATGTCCAAGGAGCTGGAGTCGGAAAATCCAAAAGGACTGAACTCGTTCAGCATTTCTTAAGCCTGAATGGAAAAAGAACAAATTCAGGCTGTGAGTTGCAATGCTTAAGGTGCTATGGACAGAATATTGAATATTTAATTTCTCAGGAAGAATTCAAAGCTGATGTAAGGAGTATACAGAGTCACTGTACCAAAAACAATGGCTGACACAGAAGAATTTTAAAAAACAGCGTATGATCAAGAGGCAATGGAGATAAAGAGAAAGTGCAGGCTGCTCTGAAGGACTTGGCAAAAAAATAAGGCCCCAGGAATTAATGGAATACCAATTGACACATTTCAGCAAACAGATGCTGTCCTGGATGTGTTCACCAGGTTGTGCCAAAAAATCTGCAAGACAACTACCTGGCCAACTGACTGGAAGAGATCCACATTTATTTCCTTTACAAAAAAAGTGACTCAGCAGAGTATTGAAATCATTGAACAAAATCACTAATACCACATGCAAGTAAAATCTTGCTGAAGATTATTTAAAAATCACTGGAACAAAAAAAAAAATCACTGGAACAGTACCAACAGAGAACTACCAGAAATTACAAGCTAGGTTTAGAAGATGTTGTGGAATTAGAGACCCTATCATCAATGTCAGATGGATCTTGGCAAAAGTAAAGAGTATCAGAGGAATGTCTATTTATGTTTCCTTTACTATAGAAAGGCTTTTGACTGTGGATCACAACAAATTGTGGCTAACACAGAGCAAGGAAACACTGCATTGTTCAAAATCAGGAAAGCAGTGTAGAAGGTATGCATCCTGTCTCTATACATTTTCAATCTATATGTAGACTAGATCATTTGGGAGGGTAGGATTTATTAGGAGGAATGTGGTATCTTCAGCATTGGAGGAAAAATCATCAGCAACTTGAGTTATACAAATGACACAACCTTTCTTGCTGAAAATAAAGAGGACCTGAAGCACTTGTTGGAGAAGGCCGAGAACTGTAGTCTTCAAATATAAATTGAAGCTCAACCTCAAGAAGACAAAAGACTCCTACTGGGCCAAGCACGATAGATGGAGAAGTTAACAATTTTAGCTTGCCCATCTCCACAACCGGTACTTTTGCAACATCAGTTAGGAAATCAAAAAACAAATTGCCCTGGGAAAATCTGCTGTCAAGGACCTTTCCAGACTAATGAGAAGCAATGATGTCAGTCTGGAGACTAAGGTGCACCTGATCCAGGCAGTTGTCTTCACAATTACTAGCTATGCATCAGAGAGACGGACAATGACTAAAGATGACAGGAGAATTGTCTTTGATTTGTGGTGGTGGAGAAGAGTCTCGAATATACCATGAACTGTCAAGAAAACAAATAGGTCTGTCTTAGAGAGGGTGAAACCAATGTACTCCTTGGAGGGTAGGATTTTGAAGCTCTGTCTCACGTACTTTGGTATGTGACCAAGATGTAATAGAAAAGGACATCATGCTCAGAAGCATGGAGGGATAGTGGAAAAGAGGAAGACTCCGAATGAGATGGATTGATACAGTAACTGTGACAATGGGGTAGGTGTGTTGGAGTCAGTAAGACTGGCTCAGGATAGCACAGGTTTCAGAGCTTTTTATACATAGGGTTGCTATGAGTCACAGGTGGCTCATAACAACAACAACATATTCCTAGAAGTGGACTAGCTGGATCATAGGGAATTTCTATGTTCAGTTTTTTTTAGGAAACGCCAAAGGACCTTCCTGATGGAAGCTTGTACCATTTTACAATCCCATAACAGTGTGAGTTCCCCACCTCTCCACAACCCCTCCAAAATTTATTACTTGCTATCCTGTTAAACTTTGCCCCTGCTACTGGAGTGAAATGTTATCACAGCTGACTTTACCAATGCAATTTGTCTCCTGATTTCCTGGCTGCTGTTACCAAGAGTGTTGACTGTGGAGCCAAGTACACTAAAACTGTTAACTCTCTCAGTCTCTTCATCATCCATACTGATGCTGCCAATTGGCCCAGTGGTGAGAATCTTTGTTTTCTTGATGTTGAGCTTCAATTCATATTGAAAG